ATCTGTTTTCTTTTTCAGTTCAGCTTGTGTCCTGATCTCTTCTTTCTTTTATTTTGTGTTTTAAGTTGAATTTCCAATATTCTAGATTTTGTCAAATGCAGAATGAAAGCTATCGTACAACAGCTGTAGAACCTGTCGTTAATCACACTATGAACCCTCAGGGATCGGTGTTATCAGTATTGAAAGAGCCTACCCTTTAACCCTGGGGTCCAATCTGGGAACCACTACAACAGCTACACTGGCAGCCCTGGCTAGTCCTGGAGATAAACTAGCTGCTGCCACACAGGTATACACATACAAACACACACGCAGATAAAACTGACATTCACAGTTGCTCTTTGTGTCTCTCTGCGGTGCCAAATAAAACCCATCTCCCCACCCACCTTTGTCTGTCACTCATTCTGTTTATTTCAGCTTCTCTTGAAACACCCACACAAAACCACATCTCTTTCCCCACTACCACTGACATTACTGCTGCTATGACTGCAGTGCAACTACAATTATTAGTGCTGACTGTGTAAACATACCCCCCCCCCCAACACATGAGCCTTGGCAACCATTCGGTCCAGTCCTGGCAGTCAGACCACTCAGAACACCACCACCATAGGAACCATACATCAATGCTCTGCAACACCCAAAACATCACACACTAAGAGACACTAAGAGAGCGCAGACGTCACATAAACCACATAAAAAGCACTGTGGTCTTGGCAAGCACTGAGCAAAAGTCTACAAACCACTTAGTCACACTCCCGTAAAGTTTTGTTCCACTGCTAAGCACACTAAATATTAGGCTTTTAAAGGTTTGCAATATGTTTGAAACTGGAGCTGAAAAATTAGTCCATTAATCAAAAGAAAATGTATCCGCAACAGTTATGATAACTGATTCATTGTTTCAGTCATTTTTCAAGCAAAAAAGTTCAGCTTCTCAAATGGTACCATTTTCTGCATTTCTCCAGTTTATATAACCGTAAATGAAATATCTTTATGATATGGTCAGACAAATCAAGACACCTGAAGATGTCATCTTGGGCTCTTCGAAATTACAATTGGGGTATTTTTTGTGTGTTTACTGGTATTTGTAATCAGCTCCCATATTTAAGTGGGCACAAACTGTGCATATGCTTGCTCTCTGGGGTTTATACTGTAGTTTTTGACAGTAAAGAAACTGTGATATGACTAAATATAAGCATCCTGCTGCTTTCACCTCCTTTAACACTGTTCTGTTTTCTGTCATATACTTCCTCTTAAGTTTATACAACACATGCCATTTGACTCAATTTCCTTTAGATCCATCTCTCTGTTATTTTATGTCTCACTTTATCCTCACCTTTTTTGTCTCAGGTTGCTTTATGTCATTTTTTCTTCAACCTCCTCGGTATCCTGCTGTGGTATCCCATCCCAGCCACCCGTTTACCCATACGCATGGCCTGTGCACTTGGCAACTGCACTGCTAGGTACAGTTAGAAATAATTTGTTTTTACTCTTAACAAGATGTGTTAAACATAGGAGCTGAACCATCAAGGAAAATCTAAATATTCTGTCACTGAAAAATATAAACTATGTTTTCTTGAATAAATCTCCACAGTGAATTAAACAATAAGATAACCTACCATGACTCACACATACACAGGTACCGCTGGTTTGCCGTTTTGTACCTCCTTCTCTGCTTCCTGCTGCTCCCATCCCTCGTGTTTGCCCTCTCCATGGCTGGTTGGAAGGTGATGACGGGGATTGGTGTACCAGTCATTATGGTGATCATATCTGGTGTAACAGTACACGTGCTCCAGGTGTGCAGACCTGATTGTTTGCCACTTAGACTGCAGAACTGGGACTTCCTTCCTGTTTGGATGACCTCGCTGCAGCCCCTCGATGACCTCATCACCAGGGTGACCCTGTGTTGCAGGCAGGGAAGAGGTAAATATAATATCTAAATGAATTACCTGTATGATTTAATCACATTTCTATCTGTTCCCTCTTAGCTAACACTGTGATACAAACACCTTACTTCCTGTTTGCATTATGACACTGATTTACCTCTTCCTGGATGCTGTCCCTGCAGACTGACCCTCCTCTTGATGTTTTGTTCCCAGGTTTGAGTTGCAAGGGAAATGATGGCCCGGTAACATCACTGGAGGGCATTACTGTCAACACGGAGAGAAAAGTCAGAGAGGAATGGAAGCCGAGTGAGGAAGGACAGGAGAGTAACAACAGCTGGCAGAAACAAAGAGAACTGGACAAACATGGATGCTGTGACCTACAAGACAATGAGGAAAACAACAGAGGAAACACAGCAACCGATGTGTCTTCAGAGAACAACAAATTAAACTTGGCTGCAGTGTGGTTCATAAAGAAAGACACAAACAATCAGGGCACTCAATTCAGCAGCACTCGCTTGTAGTGCTTGTGTCTAAGGTGTGCTAGATGTTGCATGAATATACCTGTGAGGAAGTCATCAAAAAAATAAATAAAAATGATACAGTCATGTGCTGAAAAACAGCATAAATGTAACTGCCACCAACTAATTGACCTGCGAGGTGAGTTACTGTAAATTTAAGGCAGATGGTCTGCTTTCAGATGAGTAAGGTATGAATGGTTAATAAACAGCATTTTGGATTCTTAGCACAATACAGAGGGATAATCATTAATAGGCTGGCTTATATTTAACGCAGCTGATGTCAGAGGACTTTCAACCGTGGCTTTAAATCAACCCATCCACTGTCTGTAACCTGTGATACTGTTCAGATTCACGGGAGGAGGAGGGGGGTTGCTATCCTAGCTGACATTGGGCAAGAGATGGGGTACACCCTAGACAGGTGGCCAGACAATCAATGGGATGACACACAGACGGTAAATTTAAAGTCACTAATTAACCTACATGTCTTTGGACTGTGGGAGGAAGCCAGAGACTCTGGATAAAACCCCAGTAGGAGAACATGCTAACTCCACACAGAAGAGCCCCAGCCAGCTGGCAGGATCAAACCAAGAAATGTTGTTTTGTTTTTTACAGAGGAATGCATTTTACAAAAGGTATCATCAAACATGAATGAATGTCATGTTACTTGATCTTAAACAAAACTTATTGGTGCTGCAGTTTTTCATTGTTAGTGTCACATATTGTTTAATTCACACACTGTGACATGTGCGGCCTGTGGGGAAGTTTAGTGATGCAGATGTTTGTGAGCACTGAGTACTGTACTGTATCGGTTTTGTAAATAAAACATTTGGCTATGCATTTAAATATATGACATGAGAAATAGTATGATAAGCAGTGTCCTTCAAATAATATTTCTCTGAGAAACTGGTAATATGTGCAGAGGAGTGGCCAAACGTAGGTCACCTTAAAATGTAAGGACTAAGGGAAATAAAATTTGGTACCAGTTTGATAAACACTTGAAACAGTCACACCTGTTGGCTTTTTGGCCTGCACCTGCAGTTAAAGTAAAGAAAGACCTCTGTCCTCTTCGCACTTTGTTTTTTTTAAAATTTAGTTTTAAGTGCTCTGCGTTTATAAAAAGCGCTGGTATCAACTGTGGCTATTTCTAAACAGCTTTTAAAAACTAAAATATCTGCAGTAGAACAAAGTGCGAAGTCACAAATGAAATGCTTGCATTACTCTGTGTACGGCAGGACAAATCACACGGCAGGAAGCCGGAGTGTATAAAAGGCAATGCTCGTAATTAACCCATTTACATGATTCTATACAGCGAAGTTCACAAGTAACTGATTAACTTTTACATTTCGCAAATACCTGAATATGCTAGTGTACCTTTTTCCAAGTCAATTGTGTTTAATTGCACCAATTTAGTCTCATCACAGCATTTACATGAATTAATTTAAGTGCAACTTGATCTTTACAGAATTTAAAACTGATGCAAGAGGTTCACATACAGTACTTGTTGAGTTGTATGGTATTCACAAGGGATCAGATTCCTCTTTGCATGATTGTAAGTACTGAATTTTGATAAGCCTGTCATTCTCCGCCCTTGACTAATCACACTGCAGTATTTGCAGAGAGAATGCAGTGCTGACAACCCAAAAGTCTGCATAAACTGTAGCAGTTTCAACGAGCTGCAGAAATAGAGCATGTCACCACAACCACCTCAACCCACCAAGTAGCTCAGAGGCCAAACTCACCCAATCAAAGTGCACAATATACTTCCTGTATTATCACAGTCCTTTACAAATGCAGGTATGTGAAAATGAAATACTGCCAACAGTATGAACTTCTGAATGTGTATCTGCTATAATATTTGCTTTTAGTGCCCCCCCTTCCCTCCGTATCAGGCTGCTCTGTAAAATGAATTAGAAGCAAAGATTATTTGCTATAATCTAGTATAATCTAAGTATAAAAAAGAAAGAAAGGCAAAACATATTTTTGGAAGATAGAACCATTCACATCCACACATCACATGATAATTTGCATCAAAGACTCACAGAGCAGTCAACATTGTTTCAGTTTTGAGAAACCACAGTTTGTGTCTGAAATCTTCATCTGAGAGCTTCCAGGTACAACGTGTTCACTGGCCGGTTGTGGGTGACAGCACCATAACCGCTTCCTTGACTACTATCATACAACAAGACAAAAAAGAAAAAAGAAGCATAAACCAGCTTTCTGTCAGTGGAAAATTCACAGGTCAGCCTTAAACAGTCACAAAGAACACCACTGTGAAGGAGGTAAGTGACAGCTGAATTTGCTGAATTGTGTATTTTTTTCATTATTTAGGGTGTAAAATCTGAAATGGTATCGATTCTTATCTATTTTCTGAAACAATCCGTACACACTATACATACTGTTCCAGCTTAGTTTTTATTAAGTATGCAAATATTTAGAAAAACAGTTGATTGTTGAGTCAAATACTGATGCTTTGGGTTGGTGGTTTGGTCCGTCCAGCAACCCAAAGCATTAGTATTTTTTGTTAAAGGTAATTTTTTGGCATTTTGTGTATATTAAACAGATCCAGAGTGAAGGGGGAAAAGGGGGGCTAAGACATGCAGCAAAGGGCTGCAGGTTTGAATTGAGCTCACGGCCAGTGCAGGCAGGACAAAGCCTTCATGCATGGGGTGTTCCCTCGACGAGGTGAGCTAGTGGGCACCCCCAAAGCATTGGTATTTGACGATATGGGAAATAATCAACAATCTTTCTCCAGAATTGCATACAGCACCTTAATACGGAAGCGTATTGCATTCACTTGACAAATAAAAAAAAATCTGTTTTATTGAGTAATTTTTTTATTTTTCGGTGTAATTTTTTTCTGTTTTTCGTGATATTTTGTTTTTTTGTTTTTCTGAGTATTTTTTTCCTGAGTTGAGAGAGCAGTAGAACAACAGACGCTTTCATTCCTTTCTTGAGAGCTCGATATAATGGAAGCAAACATGACCTGCTTGTTTAGTTTATGGTGTTATCATTAGTTTGTCGACTTTACGCAGGCACCTGACCATCTATATGACTTAAAGACAAGAGTATCTCCCAGTGTCTCAAACCCAAAACAAAGTAAAACTGGATTAAACTAAACAATCAGGTCATGTTTGCTTCCATTATATCGAGCTCTCAAGAAAGGAATGAAAGCGTCTGTTGTTCTATTGCTGTCTTAACTCAGAAAAAAAAACTCAGAAAAACAGAAAAAATTACCCTGAAAAACAAAAAAAAATACCATGAAAAACAGAAAAAAAATTACCAAAAAAAGAAAAAATTATACCGAAAAACAGAAAAATAAAAAAATTACTCAATAAAACAGATTTTTTTTTTTAATTTGTCAAGTGAATGCAATATGCTTCTGTACCTTTACAATTGACTTAACTTCAAACAACCAGCTTTGAATTTAGTCATTTCAAAGTCTATTTATAAAATCAAATTAGAGCAAATCTAATAAATCATTCAAAATAACATCTGATTTTTGTGTTTCAACAGAAAAACAATGATTTCTATCTACATGATCATCGCTCTGGCAACAACAGCTCTGGCTAAAGGTATTCAATTCAGTCTTTGGAGATTGGCAGAGAAATTAATGAAATACCAAATTTAGAAATGCAGCTTAAGTTCTATTCGATGTTTATTTCAACACTTAAGCAGCAAAATAAAACATAAAAAAATGATATCATAAAATGCTGTAACGAAAATGTTAATGAAAAGTTTAGAGTAACACTGAAATGAAATGCTAGACCCAAATTGTTCTCATCTGTTTCTTACAATAAGCATTTTATTAATTTGCTTTTTATTTAGGATCTATCGAGTGCAACTTCATTGAGCCTGCTGGAGCTCAGCTGTGTTTTGGAGCAGTGGGACAGCTGTTGATTTTCCATTTGCCAAATACAGCAAATACAGATATTTGGCTGAAAAAGGATAATGAACATACAATTTTTAAGAAAGTCAAAAACAAGACAGTGACTCCTCATGAAGAATTTCTGAATCAGCCTGAAGTCTTCCCCAATGGAACAATGAAACTAGGAAATGCAATGAAGAGACACACTGGAGATTATGTCTTGGAAGTATTTGGATCTAATGGGGTCTTACTGAAAAAAGTGAAAATGCATCTGGAACTACAAGGTGGGTAAATATATACGTGTATATAAATATCTCATCATCAGAACTGTATGTTGAGCGAACATTACATTTGGGACACAGTCTATGGTCAACAGAATTGGTAGTGTTTTCTAATTTGTATTTCTAACTGAAGACACTGTATATGTTACTCTCTGTCTTCCAGCTCCAGTGTCCAAGCCAGCTGTGTCTCAGAAGTGTTTGTCACCAGAGCAGATGAGCATCAGCTGCTCCTCTGAGGGAGATGAAGCAGAGTTCATTCTGACTTTGGATGGTTACTCACTGATTCAGACCAGAGCTCAATGCCAGTCCCAGAGCAGCTCAACAGAAAATGCGCAGTCAAAGGCAAGGAGTAAAACTGAACAAGACAAACCGACATTTTTGAATGTTACCATCAGCTTACACGGTCAGCTGACAGGAAACGTGATGTGTCGTGTTTGGAACAACGTCAGCAGAGATGAAACACTTCTTCATCTGACAGGCTGCACAGGTACAGAAATTAAAGAAGTGTCAGTTCCTAGTTTTTGGATCCACATTACCTCATGAGGACACCAATGAGGCAGACATCTTGCCAAATCTAAGATAAACATGAATTATTTTGCCCTTTTCCCATCTAGATGGGACAGATTAACACTTTTGTTCAGTTTTTTTGTAACTAATGAGGCTTGAGAATCACAACAAAATGTCTGCATCACTACAGTCATTACTTTGGGCTGATATGTGTTTGTGTTTTCTAGCTTTCATATCTCACTCCCCTCTTGTTGTGGCTGTGAGAGCCGGTGTTATCGCTCTACTTCTTCTGGCTTTGTGTCTTGGTATCTGCCACGTACGTAAGAAAACAAGACCCAAGACTGTGAATGAAGGTAACAGAATATAATTTCTAGGTTAGCTACCATCCTTCTTATTTTAGTTTAGGTTTTGGTATAATGTCAGTAGTCTTGTTTGTCATATATAGGCTGAAGTGGTTTCAATATAGCAGCATTTTGGATGTGAATGGAGGATAATTTGAAAGTTCTTTTAAGAAATTATGGCACACACTCAGATGCGTGTTGTGTGTGAAGTTCTCTCTCTTGACTGGGGAACTGTTTTCAAACTGTATGTAAACTCAACTGCATGTTCACGTAGTTTCTCAACAGATGTCATTTAAAGGGGAACTAATGTTTTTTTCAACCTGGGCCCTATTTTCTGATCTACTTTTGTCTAAATGAGTGATAGGATGTTCAATATTTGACATTTCTCCAGTACGAAGCTAGGGCTGACCTGCCTGCAGCCTGTGAGTGTGCGCTATATTAAATAACAGGGCACTCAGACAGCTTCAAAAAACGTCAAAATACGTCCACTAAAAGTGCATTTTTTCCACACAGATAGGCTCGGATTGTTAGTATAATTATCCGACGACATAACAGAAAGGAGAAATGAACGTCTGTGTTTACCTTCAGCTGGATTCGGACATGTTCCTCTGCCTGTTGCTGCTCCCTCTCTCTCCTCGTCCGCTCTTCAGTTTCAATGAGCTCTGCATCCATGTACGTCCATGTACAGATCCAGTTGGTCAAAACTGGGTAAAAATTCGGACATGTTTGTTGTGGCAAGTCAAAACACTCACTCAAAGAGGGAAAGTCTGGCTCTGAAATCTCACGTCTTGCGAGATTTGTGTTGTTGCAGGAAGTTACCGCTGGAGTGACCTTACAAACGCGAGGAGTTACTCTGTTTGGAGTAGTCATGGTTAAAAAAAAAAAAAAAAAAAAAGGCAGAGCTCACTGAAATTGAAGAGCGGACGACGAGAGAGAGGGAGCAGCAACAGGCAGAGGAACATGTCTGAATCCAGCTAAAGGTAAACACAGACGTTCATTTCTCCTTTCCGTTATGTTGTCAGATAATTATACTAACAATCTGAGCCTATCTGTGTGGAAAAATGCACTTTTAGTGGACGTATTTTGACGTTGTTTGACGCTGTCTGAGTGCCCTATTATTTAATATAGTGCGCGCACTCACGGGCTGCAGGCAGGTCAGCCCTAGCTTCGTACTGGAGAAATGTCAAATATTGAACATCCTATCACTCATTTAGACAAAAGCAGATTGGAAAATAGGGCCCTGAGAATCTACAGTAATAGTGTTTAAAGGACACAAAGGTGTGCTATAACAAATGTTCTTTTTACGTCATTCTTGTTTATGTTTTGTTTCTACAGGTATTTCCAAAGATGACAATCATTCCTGACCTGTTTATTACTAGATGTAGCATATTGTAGCAAAGCAGCCCTTGCCTTTATTCTGTCTGTAATAAAAGCAATAAACTAAAGCCCTTTTAAAAATTAAATGTTGTGACAACACACCAAACAGCCAGTGTTTGGGTGGGTGGAACGTGTCAAGTGGCATTCACATGAAGAGGGCCCGAGGTTTCCCAGCAGAACGCTGCATTGTAACCAGATGATCAATGTTATTCACTTCACCTGTCAGTGGTTTTAATGTGTTGGCTGATCAATGTACAGCTATAATATATTTCACTATAAACTGTTGTCCTGTAAATTAAGCAGTCTTTCTTTTGATTTGTCAGCTACAATTATGAAACTGAGCAATTTGTTTAAGCCTTCATGCATGCCTTCAAAATACAAAAGTGCTTTGTTACAGTGATTTGCTTTGTATTATAGCTTTTAAATAAACGTCTATTGAAAGTCTTATTTGTGCTTATGAGCAACAAAATCAATAGATTTCATTTTCACTCCAGCATTGTACTGTTTCCTGTCTGCGTGTCATTATAGTAACCATCGAATCAAATGGAAAAAAGTGAAGATAGCACCTGTTCGAAGTCTCAAAACAGCTGTTTAAAAATTTGGTGACCTCTTTCAAGTAAAATGAATTTCAATGAGATCAGGTTGTTGACCATGCTTCATCATCTCTTCTTAGAACACCAAACCACAGTGACATCACACATTAGAAAGCTCCAAGAATTGCAGTGATCACTTTGACTACTGGGTGGAGCCAGAGGTTCCCACATGTTACCTGAAAGTAACTACATTTAATAAGGTACTGCACTATGTTGAGGTACTTGTATTTTTTTTGTGTGATAGCATTTAATGCTTACTTCATTTTATTTCACTGCAGCTATTTAACATCTTTAGTTACTTTGCAGATGGAGGTTGATCTGAGGCCAGTTTTGGTGTAATTGGTGTTGACGCTGTACATTAGAAAGACTTAAAATATCCTATATCTCCTTATAACTCAATGATAATGTCCTACAAACAATGTATTATAAGGTGATATGATGCTTATAGACTACACACAGGGGAGTAGAAGTAGAGTTATTTAAATCAAAGTGGTCACAATATATGAACAGAATAATATAAAGGGTCGAAGTAATGAGTGTAATAAAAAAAAAGTTTCATGGCTGCCAATAATACACTTACATTTTAGGTCATAATCTCACAAATAATATGTTGTAACTTCATTAAGAAAGTTCTTCAGGGAAAACGTCATCCAGATGGGAAAATCTCACACGCCACAGGCTGTTTTCGAAATATTAAAAAATTAAACGCAGTATAAAATCTGACTTGCAGCATATTAGACATTATTTCAAATGTGAGAATCCACAGTTTGCGTGTGCAGTGCTTTCTGAGAACTGTCAGACATATGATGTTCACTTTGTTAACGAGCAAGTTTTGAGTGCCAACACGTTAACCACTTCCTTGATTTTCTTCACACAAGACGACAAAACGAAAAGAAAAGAGCCTTCTCTGAGTGGAAAGTTCACAGGTCAGCCTTAAACAGCCACAGAGACGACAGCACGTTATTGTGAAGGCGGTAAGTAACAGCTTTTAATCTTACAGTATGCTGAAATAGTTTAAGTAAGCAGAAATACTTTAGCGATATGGAGTCATCCTCACTGAACCAGCTTGGTTTAAGGGTCACCACTGTATAGGGTTGTGATTTCATAATTTGGAGAGGCTCTAAAATCCAGGGAGGTAAAAAATTTCTTCTCAACATTTTTTTGTGAAACGGCTCATGTCTGATTATGAAAATAAATACTCCATGCATTTCATTTATATTGTTTAGGCTTCTTTTTTACTGAGTTTGACTTTGTAACTTCAAGCTAAGAACTAATCTTAAAAATAAATAAAAATAAAGTTAAAAGAAATAAAATGTGGCACTCAAACTTACATTTGCTTTATATGTTGCAACAGAAAAACAATGATTTCCATCTACATGATCTTCATCACTCTGGCAACAACAGCCCTGGCAAAAGGTACATTAAAGTACGTTACTGCAGTTAACTGTATGGTGCATAGATGAGATCCAGATAAGATAATAATGACAATTGTTGAATGTAGAAATGCTGTTAAAACAGAAAATAAATAAACATTTGAAACGGTCTAATTTATTCCCTTTGTCCTACTGACATCAAATGCTTGAAATAAATAAGCAAAAATGCTCTTATCTGTATTTCACAGCATTTTATTTATGTATTTATTTGGCTTTTTCAGGGTCTATTGAATGCAATCTTTCTGAGACTGCTGGAGCCCAGCTGTGTTTTGGAGCAGTGGGACAGCTGTTGACTTTTCATCTGCCAAATACAGTAAATACATATATGGGGTTGATAAAAGATAATAAATATATAATTTTAAAAATAGTAAAAAATCAGATAGTGACTCTGAATAAGGAATATGTGAATCAGGTTGAAGTCTTCAACAATGGAAAAATCACACTAGGTAACGCCATAAAGAAACACACTGGAGACTATGTGCTGGAACAGTTTGGATCTAATGGGGTTTTATTGAAAAAAGTGAATGTGCATCTAGTAATACAAGGTGGGTAAAAATATATAACAATAATAATAACAATAACAACACTGATTATTTAATGAGCATCTACAGTACCTCTGACCTGTGTGTTGAATTATGTTTCAAACAACATCAGCAGAGATGAAACTGTTCTTCGTCTGACAGACTGCACAGGTACAGAATTTAAAGAAATGTCTGCATCATTGTAGTATTGAATATGGTCTGATATTTGTTTGTGTTTTCTAGCTTCCATCTCTCACTCCCCTGTTGTTCTGGCTGTGAGAACTGGTGTGGTCACTCTACTTCTTCTGGCTTTGTGTCTTGGTATCTGCTACGTACATAAGAAAACAAGACCCAAGACTGTGAATGAAGGTAACAGAATATAATTTCTAGGTTAGCTACCATCCTTCTTATTTTAGTTGAGGTTTTGGTATAATGTCAGTAGTCTTGTTTGTCATATATAGGCTGAAGTGGTTTCAATATTGCAGCATTTCTAATGTGGATGGAGGATAATGAGAAACTTCATTTGAAGAAATTATGGCACATACTCTGAAATGTTTTATTGTAAAGCATTCTGCTAAGTGAAGCTATGTGAATCATCCTCTTCCTTGACTGGGGAACTGTCAGTTTTCCTGTCCTTCAAACTGAACCAAAGTATCACATTCACACATCAACCTTGTGTCTCAATAGAGACATTTAAAAGGGACACTTTGCCAATATTTAACCAGCTTTGTATCATAACAGTATGGGCAGTATGTGTAAAATGAAATGTGATAACTTCCCTCCATCTTACCAGCACCCAGATCTCCCTGCTCATCTCCTCGCTCAAATCGTTTCACTGGCTCTGGGGCTGTTGCTCAAACTACAGTTTGTACTTCCGCATTTCAGGAAGTGGGCGCCATACTTTTTTCTGTATTGTAAAAATGACTGCAAAACAGCTCCGTTTTATGAAAGGATCATCTGTCCAGCAGTGAAACGGCTCTGTAAATGACGAGGCTGAAGCAACAAAGACTATGTTTTTACTATAAAATTATAAATACGCCTCCAGTTAATGGTAATTGAATCTAATTTTAATGTAGCCATATCATTTTCACAAATCTCACTGCAGCTTTTTTCTGACTTATCTAAGAAGTCCTTTACAGTTACTAACCCAAGCATCTACAGTAATATTGTTTGTGAGAAAAAACTTTAAAGTTACACAAAGATGTGCTATAAAAATGTTCTTTTTTAAAAGTAATTCTAGGCTTGTTCATGTTTTTTGTTGTTCCAGGTGTCTCCAAAAGATGGCATTCTCTCCTGAGCTGTTACAAGACATAGCATGATCATCATATAAATCATCATGCAACAGCACTTGCCTAAATTCTCTAAAAACAGCAATAAACTAAACCCTTTTAAATATATATATATATTTATATATCCTTTCTGTGACAAATAAATACACTCTTATTCATTATAACTGTTCTCCTGTTAAATTAGGCATTTCTTCTTTTCATTTGTCACCAACTATTTTGAAATTGTACTATTTGTTTTTTTTAGGTTTTGTTTTTTTGCCTTTATGCATTTGCTTTCCAAATGCGACATAGTTATTTTACAGTGATTTGCTTTGTAATTGTGTCTGCATTGTATAAGATTTTTTCTAAATAAATATCTAATCAAATTCTTACTGGTGCCAATGATCAACACAATCAACTGATTTCCTTTTTCACTCAAGTGTTTTACTGTTTCCTGTCTGTATTTCACACACCATCAAGGTGAAAGGCAACACCTGTTCTAAATCTCCAAACAGCTGGTTAAAAGTTAAGTGGAGAGATATCTTTAAACATAAAATGAACTTCAGTGAGATCAGGTTCTGGACCATGCTTTCACATCTCCTCTTAGAGCATCAAACCACTGTGACATGATACATTTAAAACGTTAAGTCCATCGAAATGACAAAATCAGATGTGACAACTTTAAATAAAAAAGAACATTTGTCCTCACAATTCAGCTCCTCAGCAACTGTGCAGAGAGCAGGTAGTCGCCACTGCAGTGTCCCATAGAATGCAGTGTCATTATTTGACCACAAGGTGGAGCCAGAGGTCCTCACATGTAACCTGACAGTAACTACATTAAGTCAAGTACTGCACAATGTCGAGGTACTTCAACTTTTCTCGTATAATTACATTTAATGCTACTTTCATGGGATCCAACACTGACACATCAGTCACAAACACCACTGTTGCTATAATGCAGCCTTGAGAATGAAAGAGGTGAGTCTGATGAGTAATGTTGTGTACTGAAGGTGTGTTTAGTTGCACAACTTTATCGATGTGTTTATTTTAAAGAGCAAGTGAAATTGTACTTTTAGCCTTTGCCAAAAGCGCTTGAAGAAGAAGCTTAAGTAAACATTAAATCCCCAATTATACACTGAAAACTGGCATGAACGCAGTCTGCACACATCAAACAGGAAATAGAAAAAGCTTTCTCACCATAAAATGGTTTACAGAGCTGGATCTACATGTATTCTTTTTGTGTCTCTGTCCATGGTGCTGATGTCATTGTCACTACTGCTACTGCTGGTCTTAGTGCTAGTGCTCCACAACAAGCACAGAGTATTTTGACATCAACTACATCATACACATTAGCAACCACCTTGCCACAACCCCTCAAAAAGTAAGAGCCACCTAAATAACATCAGAAACCTCACAAGACATCACAGAAACCATTACCCACAATGCAATGCCTGGAATACCACAGGGTATCCCCTAATAACCATTCAGTACTGCTTAGTCACACAGAACACTGTAGCAACTATGAATCCATGCTCTGACAAGCATCCAGAGTGTCATAACAACTACCTAACAAGAACCTACAGATAACGTAGGAACTCTAACTGCAAAAGCAGTGAGCACCACTCTGAGAGCCACATAGACGCTGTGTCCATGTACACCTTTCAAAACACCTTTCATTAGCCTCACAATCATTCACACAACACAAAAGTAGGC